TATCATAACTGCTGCATAATTTAATACAATGTTTGTTTCCTGCTTTTTTCTCTCGCTTAGTCACATGTGCGTGTCGTTTATTCGTTACTATGATTATGACTATAATTATCGTTTTCGTGAACAACCAAATCAATTTGTTTTTAATATGTTTTTCTTCTAACAAAAATATTCTGTGATCTCAAACTGATTGCATTTAATATTATTTTCCTTTTATATCTCTTGTTACTTATACTGTCAATGATTTGAATTAAATGTGTTTCTCAAACTTCAGTATTACGCGTTATTACATTACCATAACTTACAAATATATTAAAATGTGTTTATCACTTTGACAAATAATGGGGTGAAATAAAGTTGTTGCATATAGAGTATTATCTACTATGAACTATTATTTTGATGATTCAGAAATCCATTTTGTTTGACAGAAGTTACTTTTCTAAGTTATTGTATAGTGGTTAGTACTATTTATTGATTTCGATATTTCAACTAGGGATATGTTATGCCAACTGATTGGCGAGTGATGACTTATATCTATGTAGTTTTATTTGGTTTAATTCACAAAATTGGCATACTTATAATAGTAGATATTTTGAAATAACCATGTATGTGAACTAGTACACCTAACATTGTAATAACTGTTATGTATTAATGATGTAAGTTATTGACACAAACAAACTTGTGTAACATGGTTCATAAATTTTCATTTATTATTGCCATTTTAAACAGTTTTTCATAAATATTTAAATTTACTCTCTAATCGCCAAATTATCATGGAATCCGTTAGACAAACTATAACAATAAATATCATGTAAATATTAGTGGGACTGTTGTAAACAATTTTAGTTTTTAAATATTGGTTGTTTGAATCTTCCCATTGATGTTGAGGCCTGGAATTGGCATTTGTGCTTTCTGTACGTATCCCCTCGATGTTGCCAGTAAATCACAAGCAATTTAAACAAAAATGGATGGTAGCTAGTTGTGGAAACCAGGGTGCGCGTTTCGTCCCTTTTGAGACTCATCAGGTGGATATACCTGCACCCCAGAGTTGGTGTCCACTCTGGGACTCAAATCCAGTTGCTTTGGTTTTAAACGCCATCGCATTATTCGCGCATCAGGTGCATCCAGCTGACGAGTCCCAAATAGGATGAAACGCCCATCCTGGATTTCAATGCTAGCTACCATCAATTTCTGCTTAAAATATTGTAAACGATTGTTTATGTGTGGAAACCCTTAATGGTTTGTGAATAACAGTAATACGTCTGAAGGTAGGCAAATAAAGATCAATGAATTCATTTAAAAATAACGAATATAGTTGGAACTATTCCCTTCAGAAATTTAAACAAAGGGAGAACGACAATATTTAGATAATACGACGAATTCACTATATTCTATTGATTTCTCTTCAGCTGCATAAAAGTTAGTATGTTTAATTATTTCCAATTAAGAGTATGATACTAATTTCAATCGATATTAAAAAGGTTATGCATAGTATGGAATAAGTTAAGAACAAGTTTTAAAAGGAATGATCTTTTTATAAATTTCGATAAAACAACACGGAGTAAATCTTTTTATAACTTAATAAGGTTCTAGTTCTAGAATTTCGATATTAATTTTATTGGTTGATATGACATTTTTGGAAGCTTAGAAAAGGAAAGTTGACATGATTTCAACTTACCTAATCGTGATCACATACAGTTGAAAAATGAAGTGGTCAGAATGGTTCCAACACATTTGAATGTTTACTCCCGACTCTTCTTGTGTACAAGGTCAGGTTAAGGCATCCTAAATGTTGTGGGTTCTGTGGATTTCAGTAACGTGTTCACTAAGTACACATTGTGTCACGTGTCAAGCAGGTGGTGTGCTATTGAATTCCCTAAACAATTTCCTCTTCGGATATGTATTTTTTGGAATATGCTTATTATAACTGGTAGATGTCCATCTTTCAATCTATACACTTTTAAATGCACATGTAGAATGATGTGTGCATTTGGAAATATTTTCTGACGGATATTTACCTATATTTGTTTATGTCCATGAGCATAGTGTCGTGTACTAATTTCGCGCCAAGGAATTTGCTTTTAGGTCCTAAAAAACTGATCTTAGCCACCCCATCTGCTTGACAGTATAATTTATTGTTAAATTGGAACTGCACATTCTTAGTACATAGTCTTAGTAACTGTTTCAAATGTTGTGTTAAAAATGGTTAACCTTTGCACCCGTCACGATATAATTACTTCAAAATTGTGTTATTTGTAATTTAGAAAGGTCATTTGCTAAAGGTCAGAATGATTCGTTGTAGGATGACGAGTTATAACCATTGTAATAGTAATAAATTAAATGGTATGCATAAAATGTGTAGAACGATGTAGAAAATATTAACAATAATGATAACTTATTGTGAGCTTAATGTGCATTAAGAGGGGTGTGTTATGATAATCCTAGCTTTCAACCTCACGTCCGATTCAGTTCAGGCATTATTCGTGTTGTGCTTAGCTTTAAACTAATAAACCTTTTATTTAATATTTGGTTAAAACAGATTTTTATCCGAAAGGTCATATTAGCAACCGAAAACTCGCTCCACTACTCTGTGATTTGATACTGAGTAACATACAACTACGTATTGAACTTTATGCCAATTAAAATTCACTTTTTTTAATCTGTATATCGTCACCAATCTCTCACAAGTCTTGTAAAATTATTATGAATTTCAGCTCTAACACAATCAGTCAGTCAGCTACAACGTAGGACCAGGCACATATGTGCATCGGTCCAGGTTGCCATACCTCATTAGCACAACAAGATTGTTTGCAAACTTCTTCCATATCAGATTACATATAAACAGCCAAACGTTATTTGCTATATTTATTGAAATCCAGATACGCGCATTCAATTTACAAATTCACACTTCCGTCAAGTATTTTTGCAGTCTAGAAGGATTTTGAATATCATCAATCTGCTGAATATCACTCAATCACTAAATAATTAAAGTTTACTTATAAATGTTCGTCAGTCAGTAACAACGTAGAACTTCGTACGTACGTACATCAGTTCGAGTTGCCGTACCACTTATAAATGAGCGGAAATAATCTAAATCATTCCTTATGAAATGTATTAGTTTCTATGTTGCTGTAAATGAGTGCTTTTGTCAAGCTCGCTAAACGTCAATTCTTTAATTATTACTCCTTATTTCGAAAACATATCATTTCTGTCATAAGTAGGCTAACTTATGTTCATTTATGTTATGGTGGTAAATATTTCCCCAAATTAAATACTGCATCGGTGCTGGTCTTGTTGGTTTTTACGTAATCTTTCTACTAAAAATACCATCAATAATGAGTATATTGATAAAAACTATATCATATAAATGGTTTGAATTATTTTTTTTCTGGTTGTCGTTTTTTAGCTAGTTAGTTTTCTACGGATAGGGTCGCTAACCCTATGCCCACCCTTCCTCCTTTACCCGGGCTTGGGACCGGAAGCAACTCTAGATGAGCTACAGTCTACTACCCCCTTCCTCCCTCTTCTGGTGGCTAACTTGATTATGAAGGCCTCGACATCTGAGGGAAAACACGGAATACGATGGACAGCTCAGAACCAATTAGACGATTTGGAATTCGCAGATGACCTAGCCCTATCCCATACACACGAACAAATGCAGATGAAGACAACTAGTGTAGCAGTAGCCTCTACATCAGCAGGCCTCAATATGCACAAAGGAAAAGACAAGATCCTCAAATGCAACACGGGGAACACCAACTCAATCACACTAGATGGCGATACTCTAGATGTGGAGTCTTTCACGTGCCTGAACAGCATCATCGATGAACAGGAAGGATCGGATGCAGACGTAAAAGCGAGAATTGGCAAAGCAAGGGCCGCATTCCTACAATCGAAGAACATATGGAACCCAAAACAACTTTCAACCAATATCAGAGTGAGGATCTTCAATACGAACGTCAAGGCAGTTCTACTGTATGGAGCTGAAACTTGGAGAACTACAACAACCACCATCAAGAAGGTACAAGTATTTATAAATGGTTGTCTACGCAAGATACTCAACACCCATTGGCCGGATGCCATCGGCAACAGCCTTTTGTGGGAGCGAACAAACCAGCTTCCACCTGAAGAGGAAATTAGGAAAAAACGACGGAAATGGATAGGACATACATTACGCAAATCATCAAACTGCATCACGAGGCAAGCCCTAACTTGTAATCCTGAAGGGAAGCGGAAAAGAGGAAGGCCAAAGAACACATTACGTCGAGAAATGGAAGCACATATGAAAAAGATGAGTAACAACCGGAAAGGATTGCCCAGGACAGGGTTGGATGTAGAGTGCTGGTGAGCGGCCTATGCTCCTCCACGAGGAGTAGCAGGCGTAAGTAATCATAGAAAACTTCAAACCACAAAAAAAACTCTACTTTATGTTAACCTATCTGTTTGGTTATTTATTGAAAATATCACTGTATATATAACGCAAATATATTTTTTAATAAAGGAAATAATATGAAAGACAACTTGAAACCTCGTCACACTGGATAATAAGCTAATATTGTCAGAGTAGGTTTAAGGTGAGAACAAACTGTTTTGAATATCTCCCATTTCTATTCTAGTTGACCTTTTATTTTTATATATAAATGTTCTTAACAAGTATATGTGTGATCAGATTTTTCGGAATTCATTGCGCTAATATATCACATAGTTCTGATAATCTTCGTCTTCTTATTACATTATTCAAGGAACTAATTGTTTCACATATTTGTTCATATTTAGAGTCTACAATTATATCTATTATTAAGATAAATAATGTTACATTCCATCACATCAACTTAATAATAAGAAATACCATTCAAGTAAAACTAAATTGCTCTTTATTCAATTTTGGTGTTTTTCTCATCTAAGTTTATGTATATTGAAACAGATCATTTATGTCAAAAGAAAATATGCTGGTAAATATACTTAGTGAGAAATTAAAGTACAATTGAGCATTTATTTTGTGACTTAAACATATATTCCTCAAAGCAAACAATTTGTATTCAGAATTGAAAGGTTTTCATAAATTTCACGTCAATATTACATACGGCGCATATTCAATTTGGCCTTGATTTCCAAAATCTATGTTTGTTTACATATAGTATTACTGATATTGAAATTCTGACTACTAATATAATTAACATCGTCAGTAGAATTTAAATACGTAAAATTTACGAAGTGGTATGATAATATTCAATTGTTGAAACTGTTACGACGGTGAACTATTGTTTTCATTATTCAAGGTTTCGTGTAACCTAAAAATGTTTATATCACTGTAAGAAAATGAAAAAATATGATTTTATTTAGAAATAATTCTTATCCACATCTAGTAAAATATACTCCGAAACACTGAATACAGTTTCAGTCTCATGTAGATAATGAATGTAATAGCCAAATAAAGGGTCAGTGGAATCCGAATCCTTAATGATCAGTAACCAGTTAGTGTGTTGCTGATATACATCATTCGGTCTATCAGTACGGAGATTTCAACGCAGTAGTCGGGAACTCATGTTTGTCAGAAATAAACAATACAAGCTAACACACTGCGTTTGTCCATAAGGTTGAATAGAACGTCTAATATGTTGGTTAATAAGTTGAGAATATATATGCTTACACAATGATTTAGGTACGGTCTTATTCTGTACTACAAATATTTTTAACCCTTAGATAACTCTTGCAAGAATAAATCCACTTAAAGTATGTCAAGAATAGATATTTCTAAGGTTATAGTTTGAGTAACAATACTGAAAGGCACTAAAGTAATATTTTAAGACCATGCTAAAATTTATCGTTAGACGTACATTTTTCCGAGGCTATATTTTAAAATTGTGGAACAGTTTACTTACTAGTATAATGAATTGAGAACTGAAACACAGTAATCGACAATCAGATAAGAATCTCAATGGGTAGAAAACAACTTATTGCTTAATTATACGGAGATTTCCTTATTCAAAGAAACGTGTATGTACAGCAAATGGGAAATACTGTTTTCGACTCCAATGTACAACAAGTTAGCCACAAGAAACTCTAAAGATAAATATCCAGTACAAACGAAGGCTGTGAAATACACAAATATTTAAAGGTTAAAAATAATAGGATTGTTTATACACATAGCTGACAGTTTTAAATTTTCTCCTCCAGACCAGACTGGACAGACAAAAGTCAGAACGGTTCGATAACACTACTTAATAACTAAGGCATAGAACCCATCTGAAAAACAAATAGGTTTAGTTAACTTGGCAAGAATAACGGCTCAAATTAAAAGACCTGAAGAGGAATTCAGTCTCAATATCATATGTTGCGCAATCACTAGAGAGGCTGGACAAACCTGTGAGCTATAATAGATTTCATAGTGTCACAACACCTAATGACAAGATGGGAAATTCTGAGTAAACCTTGGAATTCAATTGTTTTGAATAAGTTTCCCGGGAACAAAGTGTGTGTGCCATGAGTCAATATGAATTTTGTTGGAATATTTAAACAAGTTGAATTGCTGACTTTAATATTCTACAGAATTCGTTTTATACATTCTAATTAAAAACTGATCTAAGGTTTTATTTTTACTACGACTGAAATCTTAATTATTTTAATTAGCATATATCAAGTAAAAAAGGATTCAAAAAGTTCAGAAAGAATTTTTTTATTACTAGAAAATAAAGTCTAATAGTTAGAAAACTAACCAGACAACAAATAGAATAATTCAAAAATCCACATGGTACAACAAATGTGTACTGAAAGTTCAATAATAATATTAGTCGTTATGAAGTGAAAAATTATTGATTAGAATTTCGTAATTAAAATTGAATTAATTAACATTGACCTAATATTGAATCACAATAATTATTGAAACGGAAGATAACACCATGCAGCATTTATCATTTGCCAAGTAATGCTTTTACAGCAAGAACAATAGCATTTGCATCTACACCATATTTGGCTAGTAGTTCTTCTGGTTTCCCAGAACGCGGCACTTCTCTGATAGCTAATCTCTGAACAGTATGATCTACGCCACATTGTGAGAGAGCTGCACTAACTGCATCTCCTATACCTCCTGTAAATATCACAAAGAAGACAAACAGTAAAGAAAATGGATAAAGCAACAGATATAACGAATAATAGTCAGCTAAATCACTAAATAACGAAGCAAATCAAATTTAAATATAAGTAGTTTTATTTAATGAACAAGAAAGAATAAGAGCCTATGTAGAAACTTTTGACGGCATTATCTAGGGTAACATTAAAAAAAGTAGTATAACAATAATGTACGACTTCGAACGGTCAGGAGAACTACGAGATATATGAAGATATGGAAGTAATGGGAAATTTTTAATTCAGACTAGTTACATGTGCTTCTGAACCAATACGCATACACCCTACGCCGTGGACAACCTTGCTAAAATATTTTAGGCTTCTACTTCGAAGCTTCCAAAGCGATTGCATTGCACAGTTAAACAGCTTTGAATTGTATGACTAGATGTATTAGAGAATTACTGATCAGGGGACAATATGTCCTCAAAAAATGTTTTAATCTTTTTAACAATAATGCCAAATTTTGAGGTTTCAAACATGAATGAAGTTACTATGAAAAATATATATGATTGGAAAATCTTGCAAGTTAATAAGCAACAAGTACCCCTGTAAAGTAATAACTTTATGACTAGCTGTGAAATAAAGGCTATTTTTTAAGAAATACCCAAAAAACCAAATACCGAAACAGAAACCTCAACCGAAATGTTCTGGAGAAATACCGGACACTATGATCTATGAGATTTACAGAGTGAAACTGTTAAGAATGTATCAACTTTTAGGGAAAAGTAAATCTAATAAAACCGAATTGGTGAAGTATTTAGTAAACAACTTGAAGCATACAGTACAATCCACAATGCCTAACAGATAACGACCATTTACATAAACGTCTGTGAATAGTTATACTTACTTACGCCTGTTACTCCCAATAGAGCATAGACCGCTGACCAGCATACTCCAGCACTCTGTCCTGGGCCTTCTTTTCTAGTTTGATCGAATTGTTGTTCATTCTTCCCATGTCTATCCATTTCTCTGAGTAATGTGTTCTTTGGCCTTCCTTTGACCATGAGGATCCCATGTGAGGGCTTGTCTTGTGATGCAGTTGGGTGCTTTCTTCAATGTGTATGTGTCCTATCCACTTCCAGCGCCTCTTCCTGATTTCTTTCTCCGCTGGGATTTGGTATGTCCTCTCTCACAATAGGATGTTGCTGATAGTATCTGGCCAACGGATCTGAAGTATTTTGCGTAGAAATCTGTTAACAAACACTTGTATCTTCTGGATGATGGCTTTCTTAGTTCTCCAGGTTTCCGCCCTATAAAGTAAAACTGTCTTGACATTTGTATTGAAAATCCTGACTTTGGTGTTGGTTGACACTTGTTTCGAGTTCCAGATATTCTTCAGTTGTAAATGTGCTGCTCTTACTTTGCCGATCCACGCCTTCACATCTGCATCAGACCCACCCTGTTCATCAGTGATGCTGCCCACATATGGAAAGGTTTCTACATCTTCCAAATCTTCTCCGTCAATTGTGATTGGATCATCATTTGCGAAGTCTAGGTTGTCCACTGTATCCCGTGTTTCCCTTCAGATGTTGACGTCTTCATGGTCCAGTCGATCACCAGGAGAAAGATAAAGGGTGAGAGTAAGCAACCTTGCCTGACACCCGTTTTTACTTCGAAAGACTCTGTGAGCTGTCCTCCATGCACGATTTTACAGTGTAATCCATCATAGGAATTCTGTATGATGTTGACTATCTTCTAAGCACGCCATAAGTGTCGAAGAAGCTTCCATAGTGTTGACCTGTCCACGCTGTCAAATGCTTTTTCGTAGTCAATGAAGTTTATGTAGAGTGATGAATTCCATTCAATTGATTGTTCCACAATGATCCGTAGTGTTGCGTTTTGGTCTGTACATGATCTATCCTTACGGAATCCAGCCTGTTGGTCTCGAGGTTGGGCATCTACGGAGTCCTTAATTCTGTTTAACAATACCCTGTTGAAGACTTTTCCTGGTATTCAGAGAAGAGTGATGCCCCCGTAGTTATCACAGTTGCTGAGATCGCCTTTCTTCGGTAATTTGACCAGAAGTCCCTCTTTCCAGTCTTTTGGTACTTGTTCCTCATCCCAAATCTTATTGAAGAAAATGTGGAGTATCTTTGCAGTTACCGCTACGTCTGCTTTCAGTACCTCTGCTGCAATGTTGTCTGGTCCTCTGCTCTGTTGCTCTTGATTTGTCTGATGGTCATGTTGATCTCTTCAATTGTTGGTTAGCCAAAATCGATTAGGAGGTTCAGAATAGTTATACTACAACTATACAAGTGACCTAACAGTTTAACGGAGCTATGCGTAAAACAAAATTTTGATAGAAATTTCATATTTCGCTAATTTAATCACTACTTACCTTCAGGTGCATGGTCTTCTACTGTCAGTACTTTGTTACATGTTTCTTTGACAGCCTTTGCGAGTAATTCTGCATCTATTGGCTTAATAGTGAATGGATCAATTACACGAATATTAATATTTTCAGTTGCAAGAATATTGGCTGCTTTTAAGGCTTCAGTTAGTGTAATACCACCACCAACTACAGTTAAATGGTCACCAGTAGGTCCTGCAGTGCGAACAACCTATTGAAGTGAAAGATAGCCATAAACAATTGTAAGCTTGTACATTTATGTACATTTATCTGGTTTTTGATAACAATCTATACAACTATCATACTATAAAGTCTAAAGTAAAGCACTATAAAAACATTGAGAGATTCGTTCTAATTACATAGAATAGGTTATAATATTATCAGTTTCTGATTTTATGGAAATATATATTTAGTGATTTGTGCGCTTTAGACTTAATGGATAGAATAATGATGGAATGAATAACAAAAGTAGTGTTACTGGCCTTGTAGAGGAAAATATTTATACATGTTAATAGTTTTATGAGAATTTTGTACATTTTATTGCATGTTGGCGCCAGGTAAATTTCGCACAGTGAATGTGGTTTTAAAACGTGAAGATAAATGTATCGCCAAATCGAGTTGACTAATTCTCTTTTGTCTACAACATTAATAATAGTGATATTTTTGGCATTTATACTTAATGTTTAAAAACTAACTTCAAGAATGCAAACGTGTGAAGACATCAATTACGAAAACCTGGACGAATTACTAGATTTTCTATGGTAAGCGGTAAAGCAAGATTGAAAAAGCATGTAAGATTTTAAAATACCAAATATAGGTTAGATTGTCACTTACTTTTCCTTTACCAATACAAAAGCATTCCTCGGGAGAATAAATTACAGGTTGATTAGGGCGTCCAGTTCGTATATAACAGATCCCCACGGTGTTAGCTGCCAATTCAACAGCTCGTTCGGTCGACACAGCATCTGATGGATAAAATACTGTGGAGCCAATGACAGAACGAAACATAGCCATATCTTCTAAAGCCATTTGACTTGGTCCATCTTCACCTGTTTCAGAAAAAAACATTACAAATAGTAAACAGATGAAAAAGGAGATAACCCTGACCCATTGAAATAACTGCCACACAGCATAACATAAAATGTATCCAAAAAGTGATATACGAAATAAGCTTTGAATGGCATGTATTGATATTGTCGTGAATTGGGATAGGTAAGCAGCACAAGCCGGTTTCGTAAACTTTTGTTAATTAATGTGGTAAAGATATGAATGTTGACCAAATCCAATCACCATTTACCTTAAGTATTAAAATCCTAAATCTAATTTTCAGTCACATCAATAAAAGTTTAGAATTATTGAATATAGCCCCTAGAGGAACTTATTTACAAAGCTTGAACCTGACTATATAGTTTAAAAAAGGAGAGGCTCTTAATAAGTGTTATAACTTGTGACATTGTGCCCTATTAATATACAACGTAATAATACTGCCAAATAGAGAACAGTGGCTTATCGACTGAACCGATGACGCACAAAACCTGTACCAGCAGTCTAGAGTCCTTATCAGTCCTTCTTCCCGCCTGTTGAGTCCAGAACACCAATCTCAGCCTCCGCGATATGAACCATATATTATTATATACAAACCAAACAGACCACATCACACCATAAAATTTGTACAAGATCTAGCCGAAAGTGGCTGTGATTGTGGGAAACTTTAATTAATAAACTGGGCATAATTGAAGAATGGTAAATCGTCTAATAATCGTCTGTAGGTCAAAATAAAGCTTATAATAAGAATATGAATATACCTAGTTTAGTTATTTAATTGTACAATAAAGATATATGCGTAGTATTAGTTCATAAATAGATCCCAACAGTTACCATTCATTATTCTCGTCGGAACATAACAATAAGCTAACTCAGTGTATTGCTTTTGTTACTTTAAGTGTTTCATTAAACTAATCCGACACTAGTACGGTACGTTTGAGATAAACGGCAGTTAGACGCACATAATACACTGATCATCCTAATCCATGCAGATTTCCACTTTTACCAGCTGACTCACAATGTTCATCTACTACCTCAACTAAAATTAGCACTGTATATTCGATGACTATATCAAATGCAAGTAATCCTTTAGAGAAAAAGATTATCAAGAAGATGTATTTTATTCACTTACAAAGGTTTACACTGAGGGTTTGTAAGTTTGACATGCTACGATTAAAGCGTCTTACAAAATCAAAAGTTTCGTAAGCCTTTACTCAGAGATTCTGTGATCAAGTAAACTGAACTTCATTTTAATACTTTGAGAGAGTTATATTACTAATAGTATAACATTTATCACCAGAAATAAACGTTTTATTGAAGTTATCATTAATTTAAATACTGAAGACAGACATTACTTGTTGGTTTATTTACTTGAATGTTGAAATTGGGTGACGTTTATTATTGTTCCCTGTTTACTTATTTATTTAAAGCGCATATCCTGATGCAACGGTCAATCAGACATAAGCAACGTAGAAGCTAGCACGTATGTAGATGGAGGGGCACCTACAAAAGTGCCACGCAAATAGATTGGTAGGGAGGGAAAAGCAGTACTGTAGTGGCTGCTAATATGTCCAGCCCATATACGTTATTCTAACTGCAGGACAGACTAATCTACTTTTTACCCTATTACTTATTCGCTTATTAACCCTGACTTTTTTGTGGTTTTATGTGTGTTAATTACTTACCTCATTCATCATGTGTTTGTTACCTATTGTCACACTTCGTTAAATGGAGTTGGCTCATATGCTTTCTCTGATTATCTGTCAAGACCAACGATTGTGTGGAATATATATATTCGAAGTTAATTCTCGTATTTGACTTATTTAATTCTGTTATTTACCAACGCGATTTAAGTCGATGATTATATACGAGAGTTGGCGGTATGTATATTTTAATAACAATCATCATATGATCTAACTGGAGTCAGATATTGGAACACTAAGGTAGTGAGTCGAACGAAAACCTCATCAAAAATTCGATAACAATCATTCATATGATCCCATTGGAGTCAGATAAAGGGTCACAAAAAGTGACGGGCCCAACGACAAACCTAACACAGCAAACTACGTCAGTCAAGAACCTTCTGCACTCCATACTTTCGACGAACGAGCTCAACGCAGCTTCCTTTATCGATAATCTCATCAATAATATCATACGATCCTAGTAGAGTCATATAAAAAGCCACCGAATTACAATAAAAACAAGAAAATAAATTTTTAAAAATACTGAATAATACGGACAAGATTCCTTTCAGTTTAATAAGACCACCTTACTTTTAAGGTAAATATGATAGAAAACTACAGTAGGATGGCCAGTGGCATCTACTCTGAACCACATTTGATATCACAAGTCACTGAGCTGCGCCATCACTAGGACCCTAGCGAGGGAACCGAGATGAGCCAACAGGTTTCAGACTTATAAACCAATCTTTTATATTACAGTACTTTCATAAACCCACTATCTCTTTCCTTATCCACGAAGTCTTTGAAATGGCAAATTGTGGGAGTCTCTGGGATGACATTCATAAAATATGATCAAGTCACCTAAGTTGGCGTCTCAAAACGGTAAAATCAACGACTTCGTCATCGGTGCCGTCCCAATGATTACCTTCACTTGATAGGTGTTCATACAGAAGAGTGATGAAAAGCGGATACCGTATGCTCTAACCAGACAGGCAGATAAGAAAGCTAGAAAAAACTAACTCACTGGGTACTTATATATGAATCACATTCTATGTGTGAGAGCGAAGGATGCTAATTAAGTGAGTACAAAAAGGTGGAGAGGGAAGTTAAACGCTTTTACCAATAAGCCACTAGGGTACTTGGAGAACTATGATTTTAGACCGATGGTAGGAATGGTCTCAAAGACCAGGGGATAAATTGAGTGCAAACCCATTCCAGTAACCGCTTTCCATGATACTACATCTCAAGTCGATCAAACCCTTAGGTCAACAGCTTGAACTCTTTCCGAAAAAAAGCCACAAACTTCGGTTTCGGTGCCTGCAAAGTCTCGCAGCCCACACATAAATACAGTGTACAATTATGAAGCAACTGTAAAGGAGTGATATTACCAAACGAACTTTGATATTTTAATATATAACCATTTTATACATTGAACTCACCAATGCTGACTCCGACATGTGAACCAGCGAAATTACAGTTGGTCTGAGAAATTGCACCCATACGTATTTGGTCGAAAGACCGAGTGAGAAAGGCGGCAAAAGTACTGACAAATGGAACGGTTCGCCCACGTGCAGCGCAACCAATAGCCACACCAACTAAGTTTTGCTCTGCGATGAAACACTCGACAAATTGATCTGGTTTAACATCTCTAAGTTTAATACTAAAAGTTGAATTCTTAGTATCACCATCGAGACCAATAACTCGGTCACAAGTTTGACCAATACGAGAGAGAGCTGTGCCATAGGCGAGTCGAGTAGCCACCTAATGGTAAGTAAACATAAAGCGGATACATATGGAAAGAAATACCTCCACAAAATAATTTACCATTGTAAATGATTTGAGAAAACTGAACTATGCAGTAAACACACAACCAAGTAAAACTTAATATATATATATATATAAGCATTTTGATAAATTACCATATCTCCTATTTTATATTGTGGGGCGGACGGGAGCTTGATAGTACCCATTAATTTTAGTTCACTGCAATCATCCAGCGGTTTTGAAGGTAGAGGATAACTACCAACTGAAGTGTTGCTTATTTGAGCATTGAGGTAATCCAGTACTTCCTTCGCCTTACTTCCAAGAGGTTTACCATGCCAATTCTCCTGATCAGCAATACCAGGGAAATCTTGACCTTTGTACGTTTTACAAATTAAAGCAACAGGTTTATTTTTGACCGTACGAGCACATGAAAGTGCTTTAAGTAACTCCTCAATGTTATGACCATCTACCACTATAGAATGACACCTAAAGTGATCATTAAAAAATACTTTCCCTTTAATAATTATGACAAAATATATAAACTCTTTCGAAAATAAAAATGTTAATGAAATTTACCCACCACAGTATGAAACTATATACAATAACTAAACATACGAGATAAAAACACCGAATTTATTTATTTATTCATTTGAACACAAATATTGGTACAAGACAGCGCCAATATATACGCGCCACACTTTTATGGTAAGCAATCTAACCACAAGAGCGAAGTTTATTTACTATACATACTGTTGATTAAGATTTATTGGTTAAAATAAGTTATAAGCCCAGTAAGCAGTATGGTTTGACTATACATTGAAGTTGCTTTCTCTAAATATTAGAGATGACGGGGAGGAAAACATGAAGTTACTCATATATCTATAACTAGGAATTCAGCAGCAAAAATAGTTATATTCACTAATGTGTTTGCAATGATATTTCTTATGAACATTAATGATTGTTTGACTAAAAGGACGCCTTATTGCAATCTTTCTTTTATATATTACCACCTCTGAATTAACCACTTATATGAATCCGGTGTCCATCTTGTGTTAATGAGGTATGGCAACTTAGACCGATGCATATATGTGCCTGGTCCTACGTTGTGGCTGACTGACTAAAAGGACTCGCCAGTAATTACTCACTAGGCTACTTTAGTTTCAACTGTGGTTTATAAATGTTAAATTTCAGGTTTTAACCCTGTTTCACCTACTTCCCTTTGAGCGGCTGAGTACTATCATTAATTCCTACTAAAAGTTTGGCTTCAAGCAGAGTAGTTAAACCTGTACTTAGAAAATGAGTCACATTATACGTTAAGGTCATTCTGGATTGAGTGAGTTACTTCGGGTAACAAGGAATGTCAAAATCAGATCCCTTTTAACACAGATTACCATAAGATTTGTTGCCACAATCAGTATAATGAATTTTAGGGTAAGAAATATGTCTGGTTTAGTTAGAGAAAATGAAATTTCAGTTGGTCATTTAGTAGCAAGGTAGAACCTGGTACATAAAAACATCGGTTCAAGTTACCACTCCATTGGGGAAGAGATGGAATTATTAGGCCGAATTCCAGAGTAGTGGAGGTAGCAAAAGCACCAGTGGTAGAAAAGATAAAAAAAGATTAGGCATCGAAGGTATAGTTCAAGGAAATATAAATAAGCCAAAAATAAACAAGGAAAATGATGCGGAAGTCAGAAGCATAGGATCAGGGGAGGACAGGGTGGATGCACTTGCGCCACTGGAAACGATTTTAAGCCATGTCATTCAGTCTCAAACCACTAGTTACGATAACAGTGCGGACCCCCACCAAATAATCTACGAACGTTAATGAGGCCCAGTTCAACTGTCAATGACTTCATGGACGGATGCCATATTTTTGTTGACAGCTAACTTTCCTGTAACCTATTCTTACACCAGACAACATCGCTCGTTCTGAGTGATAATGATATGAGTCACATATGTTACATCCAAATAGCTTTTGCTCCTCTTGTAGAATGGCTGAGGCGTTCAACTTCCGATTAGTAACTCAGGCATGAACCCTGTACCACATATTTCGGTCTAGGGAACCGGTTAGTATTATCGCTGACATCTAGAATGTGGCGATCGACTCGATCTAAAGTTATTTCTCATTATCAGTTTGGATAACATTGAAAACATTTTAGTTTAAGTTTACTGTATGACACTCTTTGCTTACAAGCATGGCTTTTACATAAATTTGACGTATTGATGTTTACTTGAGATGTATTTACTGTAGTATGGTTTACGTTGGTTGAAGACAGTTTAGTCGAAATTCTTTCTACTTCTACAGTAGTTTTTCGAGCGATTTTACAATTAAAAGCATAGAAGGGCGTCGCATTTTAAAATGATGATGAATGTATTCAGATTGACTGTTGCATGATAGTCCACTCTTCACGTAGTGATGTTGATAAAAATATTTTTTCAATATTATATCACAAAAGCGGAATAATTTCATTTGAAACGCGAAAGTAATTGTTTATACAACTGTGACATTTTTTCAGGCATTTATTGCCTACCTCTATTGGCAAAGTGGTTACACATTTGTACTTTGTTTAGACAATATAACTAACCTCTATCCAGATAATGTTTGGGAATTCTGGCAATATGCCGGAACTCGGGAGGTTTATTAGTACTGGATAAACATTGGATACATACGAAGTCATTTTAAGGGCAATGTTGTATAAATTGAAGTTATTGCTTGGAAATTTTATTACTTAACATGGAATCGGCAAACGAACTGAGATGTTTAGACATACTTTTCTAGTAACTAGAGTCGCATAGCAATAACATGCAGAACTGATATGATGTATATAACACGGCTAAACTGTAACCCAAAGATGATCAGAAAAAACTGAGTGACCTAGTTCTGAATCCGCTGTTACACCAAACACGATGGGATTTCTTACCATTCAGAATTATACTTTTTCACATCCTCAAGGACAATATTATTGTACCTAATCCTTAGGACACTAAACACTTAATTCAACATATTATTCGCAAGTAACAGGTACGTTACCTACTTACTAAATATATGGGATTTTTACAACACCAAAAAAAGATATTAAAAAATGAATAGAGAAAAACTTTGACGGGACGTTTAAAATCATACCCAAATGCTTCAGTTCTTAGTCGATAAGTTTCTAAATGGTGCTGCAGTTGTGTCGGCTGACTTTGTCCAAGGCGATTAACATCAAATATTATAACAAGATTATCCAGTTTGTAATATGATGAGAAGGCTATTGCTTCCCAAACACTCCCTTCAGCAGATTCCCCATCTCCAACCACGCAGTATACCCTATAACTTGCTTTGTCAATATATTTCCCGACGTACGCCATCCCAGCAGCATTGCTGACACCTTGACCAAGAGAACCAGTTGAAACATCAACAAAAGACAGGCGCTACAAGCGTCAGGTATTAAAATTCTTACCGGAGTGGGATGACCTTCTAAGTCTGAATCTATCTTGCGTAGATTAAGCAATTCTGACTCAGGAAACAACCCGACCTGAGCCCATGCTGCGTAAAGTATTGGAGCGGCATGGCCCTACAGTGAATCTCCTAGGAAAAGTTGCCTACTTTAGATAATACAAATCTATCATTTGATGGATTTTTAGGTGATTCTGGCTTGTAGCGCATTTCCTTCAGGAAAAGTACAGACATTATTTCAGCCAGTGATGCACATGAAGTAGGATGTCTAAGACACAATGACTGAGATGTGAATGTTACCCAGATCCTGCTGCTTCAGTGGCTTTTACTGAGTTTATTCTAAGGCGTGTAGCTACATCTTTGAGAACCTGGACTTCACCCATGATCGGACAGCGAGATGCTAACGACAGGCAATCTGAGAATTGAAGTTATTGCTTTCTGATTTGACGACCTTGAGTGGCTTAAATAAAAAAATTCACTCCTCAATCTTGACTGATTGCCTTCCAGTGGAGGTTCAGCTTCTCTTGAAATGTTCACTGATGAGGCTGATACCACTTGTTCGGATAAGGCATTTCAGTCACTGAAAACTTGATGAGGAAAACGGGACCCCATTTTAAGTTTATAAAATTGCGGTTTGTGAACCTCCTTGCTAGGACCCCGGCTATTATTAGTGCTGGATGGAGCAGAAAGACAATACACATTAACACCCGATTCATAGTTAGAGATACGAGATGCCAGTATAATGTCACCTCGCGTCCCACGATACGACAAAAGGAAAAGGTTTAGGCGTTTTAAACGCTCATCGAAAGGAGTTTAGAAAACCCCTGTAGCGGTAAATAAATCCCCAAAATAAATAGCTATGTAAGTTTTCGACATTGGATGCTGAACACATTAGTTTTAATGGACTCACCTAGCTGGAGGCACTCGGTCATGCATCCGCATCAGTTCACGAGTGGGAACGCTGTTCTCAACATCGCCTGCAATCGCCAGCCAGATTAGATCAGACGATCCTCCGTATATTGATAGTCTATCAAATATATCTTCGATCCTCCTCGCTTCTGTCTTCTGATTTCAATTACCGTGTCCAATAAGCATGAGCGCACTTCTAAGCGCCAACCTCGATCCCATCCAACTAATTCGTCCGAGTCAGCGTGGAGTTCAAAATTATCCGTTTCACTTCATATTGTTCTCCAGATTTTGACATCATCCGCAAACACCAATGCCAACCACTTAAGCACTAGCGGCAATTCATTAACGTAGAGAAGGGATAGTGGAGGGCCTAAGATGATGCCTTGAAGTACATCAATTTCGACCGGCGTGCATTCGGACAGCGTACCACCGACTCTCTTTTTGTATCACATCTGTTATTACGAAGCTCGAGAGCTTCTGCATATGACCTAGGTGTGAAACTTTGTCAAACGCTTTTCTAAAGTCTGTAAATATCACATTGACAGACAGAACGTTATCTAAGGCTTCTGTCCAACCTTCTCTCGCAATAAGTAATTTAGTCAAGCATGAATGTTTGTTACGAAACCCATGTTGCTCAGGAGTTAACAGATTGTGTGAATCTATGTGACTTAGTAGATTAACCCGAATAATCTTTTCAAGTAACTCAACGACTATGCTGGTTAGACTGACAGGCCGATAGTTAGGTACGATCTGTCTCTGACCGTCCTTAAACATAGGACTGACTATATGTGGTGTTTGAACGAACTAATAATGCCTTTGTACTTGTTGAACGCTCGATTTCGAATTCCAAATACAATACATTCGTTTGTGCTTGTGTCTCACTTCTTAATTCAATTGCGTTAATTTTGGGATTCCTAGTTCATAATACAATTCAAATAATTGAAACATTATAAGCCTGTAATGGAAAGGTTAGATATTCATTCAACTTCGGAAGCTTTTGAAGATTACTTTGAAAGGTTCGAAATCTGGGCTATGACCAAGGAAGATGATGAGGATGTTAACATTGTGGCACACTTCCTCACATTCATTGGAAAAGGAGCATACAGCTTATTAAGAATTCTGACTATGCCGGAAAAGCCTATCTCGCTTCCTTATACAACTCTCAAGGAACTGCTGCTAGACTATATTAATTATACAAATTTCGAATACGGTAAAGGAGGAAGATCTCATAAAATGACTCATGGGGATATAAAAAAATTCTACTACATTACTACATCATCCTGACCCAGTGCATACTCAAGGTTATGCAGATAATTCATCGAGGAGTTGCGATGCAGTTCACGAGGATGGGCACAAGTTTGGTCAATGTTTGTTCCGTGGCAAGTTCCACTCTTCTAATTCATGTAAATTTCGTAATTCTAAATGCTTTAGATTTGGTGATATTGGACATATTCAGTCAGTCTGTAATATTACTGTTCATCTTACTGCAACTAATATTAAGTCTTGTAATTCTGATTCTACTGAGTCGAGTATTCATGATGATCATTTATCTTTATCAACGATTTCAAAAGACAGTGTAGAGTCATATGGCAGTTCAGAGTTAAATGAAATTCAGAATTCTTGTGACACAACAGTTCCTAATCAACCGATTTATCAGAATTCTCATGCTATTGTACCAGGTATGACTTTTCCTAATAATTCACATATTTCTAATGAAATTACCTGCAATTCTGAGGAAAATATGTTAAAAGAACCTAATCATGATCAAAAACCTGATGTGGTTTGGATAGATGCTGATTTTTCTAATGATCCTGCGCTCTGCAATGACAGTCCTAATGAATTTCATGTGAATATTTCAGAAGAATCAAATCCTGATGTCATATCATATATTACCTATCCTCATAATGCATTTGATCCTTGTGAAAAACCTGCTCAGTGCGAAGCACGAGTACTAAGTGACCTCGAGTTTTATTACATTTCGGATGATTTCATATCAACTGCTGTTTACCCTTATCACAAAAACAGTTCTAATGTTTACTCTAAACAATGTGAGAAATATGTTTTAAATGAAGCCACATTATTCATAACTTGGGGATATAAAGATCCAACATTATTTCGTGGGGGAGGATAGTGTTGAAAAATCTATGGTTCAAATTCTAGATATTAATGATTTCATTACAAAACCGACATGCTGGTTGTATACAATTCCAGGTGAGTCTGTTCCGATTTCGTTTGTTAATTCCAATACTAATGAGCACTTTCTAGATACTACAAAGTTTTTATATTAAACAATGTCGGACAGACTCAGGATGAACTTAACAAGAAGACGTACAACCGATTACAAACACTTATACTTCTATTTAAGCTGTGGCGGATGTGGTGTTTGAACGAACTAATAATGTCTTTGTACTTGTTGAATGCTCGGTTTCGAATTCCAAATACAATACATTCGTTTGTGCTTGTGTCTCACTTCTTAATTCAACTGCGTTATTTCTGGGACTCTTAGTCCGTGCTATAATTCAAATAATTCAAAACATTATACTATAGCATCTTCCCAATCTCGAGAGAGTTAAGCGAGTGAGGCAGACATGTTTAAGAGCGTCTCCAGTGGTCTTGAATTAATGTCCGCAACAGATGACAGCACTCATGGATGCGACTCATCAGGACCTAGTATCATACGAGGTTTGAAGTTAGTGGTCAATGGAAGAACAGTTTCCTCAATCACATGTTCAGATTCTACTGCTGGTATGTCGGTGTGATTGGGACAAGTATTTGTCAATTTGAAATCATGAGTCAATTGAAGCTAGACCCCCAAGGAAATCCTAGAAGCATTGGACGGCCGTTTCGTTCTGGTATGGGATTCCTCAGCAGTGCGCATCCGCGGGGTGCTGGATCGTGGAGTCCCATACCAGAACGAAACGGCCGTCCAGTGCTTCTAGGTTTTCCTTGGGGGTCTAGCTTCAATTGACTCATGATTTCAACCTGTGAAATTTCTAAAACTCTCCACAAAATCCATTCTGACAGGTATTTGTAACAACACACACGGAGTGGACTTCGCTAAAATAGTTTGAGAATGTCTCAGCTTTTGGCAAATCTGATTCAGCTAATAAATCTGAATTTTCATGCAACAGTAGTGGGGGAATACCGTCACTATGTTTTGTTCGCCGTTTAACGCACGAACAATTACGGCTACCATATGCCAACTGTTGTTCGCGATTAGTAGTGGATTTAGGTATGGCTTTCTTACATATATTCCGGATACTTTTATATTCACACTTAAATGATGCGTATTTTGTTAACAAGAATAAGCCTCAGAAGTGTTTCCTACCAGATATCGTTTGTCCGAATGATTCACATATTTCTGATGAAATGTCTTTCAAATCTGACAAAAATATGTTGAGTGAATTAAATCATGTTCTAAAACCTGATGCAGTTTAGATAGATGCTGGGTTTTTTTTATTGATCCACTATTCTTTAATGAAATTCTAAATAAATTTGATGAAAATATTTCAGACAAATCAAATTCTGATGTCATATCAAATATTATTTGTTCTCAGAACGGATTTATCTCTGGTGATATTCTTAATGAAAATGACAAATGTGTCCCGAATGAGTCGAATTCTAGCCATGTTTCTGATGTTGCGGTATCAGATGTCGGATGTTTTTACAACCAATCTATGTTGATTAGAATCCTCAGTCAGTGGTGTGATAAATCAGACAGAGTCGAGGTGATCGGAAGAGTGTATTTGGCGATTACCAATATATCGGAATTCTCTGATCTAATCTGGCTAGCGATTGCGGTTGATGTTGAGCACGGCGTTGCCACACGTGATCTGGTGCGAATGCATGACCAGGCGCCTTCAGCTAGATGAGTCCACTAAAACATATGGTCAGCATCCAATGTCGAAAACTTAGAGCTATTTATTTTGGGGATTTATTTACCGCTACTGATCACTCCCCCCCTCTAGTACGGCAGTGACGACCCTAAGACGTGACCAGCCAGAAGTTTAAACCCAACGAGTTCCTCGTTGGTAAACACTCTTCTGATAGCTTACTAAGTGTAGCAGCGTCTGTTCGTCTTTTCTTACTATATGGGACCAAGGTACAACATAGTTACAACGAAAATTTCGACTCCTCGTAAACTGCATCGTTCTTTTCCAGCCGTCCTGGAAAAGAAAAAAGAAAGTGTATGTGCATGTCGAACTACACTCGTATGTGCGGAAAAACACAATATCGGCGAAAAAATGGAAAATATACTCAAGCACACGTAATAGCGTTAAGAAAATGTTTATTTTATGTTTTGTGTTTTTTTAAATAAAAATATAAATATATAAGCATATTAAAATTGTCTTTTTTAAAAAAAATTATGTATCGTAAAAAGAAAGATCGAGATAATATAAACTGTCGAGTAGTGCCTTACGTGCAGTAGTCGTTTAAATGTTCTGGAAATCTTACTCTTCTTCTTTCAGAAGGCGTCGTTTTAGGTTTATTTTCAGATACTGTCGAAGTATCATCGCTAGT